CATTTTCATTTGCTTTCTTTAGAGAGAGGGGCGGGGGAGAGAGAAACATCGATACAAGAGAAGCATCGTTTGGTTGCCTCCCTCTGTTCCCTGACCAGGACACCCAGACCGGGGATCGGCGCCAGGACAGGGAGTCGTAGACATCCAGACTGGGAGTCGCAGGTGACCATGCCTGGTTCCGGGGGTGACCCACAGTCTAAGATGTGCCCTGACTGGGAATCAACCCTCAACCTTTTGGTTATAGGAAGATGCTCCAACCAGTGAGCCATGCTGGCCAGGGCTAAAACAAACAAACAAACAAACAAACAAAAACCTTCCTTTTATTTTCTACTCAAGATCATATTAAATAATAACCTGATATCATGCACAGTTGTACTTCACTTGTTATCAAGTTTCCTACCTTTATTATTTTTCAAAAGTCTGAGTCACGTGATGAGAGCTCTCTAATGTAAAGGTTTATCCAAGGTCAAGATCCATTTGCACAACCTGGTAACTACTTCCAAAGGGACAACGCACCTCATCTTCCTTCTTTTAAACTGGATGGTGGGTGGTGGATGGTGATGAGATCCAGTCACAACACATTTTGTCTTCCTCGCACCGAGAAGTAAACTCTGTTCTCTCATAGAAACACTGCAGTGTAACATGTAAGCTATTTTTCCAGTGAGAGGCCTTTGTAGCACCATGCACACTCCCTTCCCTGCCCTCGCTGCAGCAGGCCTGAGGTCTGTCTTGCAATGGGAGATCCAGCGGCAGGGACATGCTCCTTCTCTGTTAGTGTCAGATCATCAGCTCTGTTTCTTTCTAGGTGCAAAAATAAATGTTTCTTGGTATCTATCCAGAGAACTTGGCCTGAAAAAAAAAGGATCATCCAAGAGTCTGATATTACCCAGGGGTGTGATATATTACAACTCCTTTTTTTTTTTGTCGTTTCTATTTGCCTCCATCAGTAGTTCTCAAACCCTGCCTGTGCATTAGAATCACCTGGGACAGTTCTAGACTCTGCGATGGCCTCGCTGTGGGTAAATTTTCCCCCTCCCCTACAGTGATGTCTGAGCCATCTTGGCCCATTCCCTTATTTTGCTTAAGCCTTGTGTCCTGTCCCCACATGAGGGTTATGTTTTACTAGGATATATTAACCTATATACATTCACTGTTATAAATGATTTTTTAGGGTTTTTTTTAGCATTTCACTTTATATATTTCCTTTTTATATTTCCTTGGTGTTTCCTTTGAATTCCTTTTTTTATTTTATTTTTTTAACTTTTTAATTTTTGCTACATTGACCGCTGTACTTTTTTCCCTTTGATGATTTTTAAGATAAGCTACTTTATAGTCTATTACTAATTAGGTTTAGTATCTTTTAAACCACGCTTTAACCTATAGTTCTCAAGCGAACCACAGAAACTATGTAACAGAATTTTATTCTGAGCTGAGGAAATTAGCATATCTCCTTCCTCCCACTATATTCTTCATATTCGCATAATCTGCAATATTTTACCCTGGGGTTTGGGCAGGAGTGATATCCTATATCTTCTCTTCCAAAGAATAATTGTTAAACTTGCACTCTGTTTTATAACTATGTTTATAGCAATTATTTAGATACTTTACTATATGGTTTATTTGCCAGTTGCCAGTGCTTTCTAAAATTTTTATTAACCACAACTTTCCCATACTTGAGTTCTCTGTTTTGTTCATCTCTGGGTTCAGTAGAAAACATCTTCAAGTGGCTCTTTATGACCGTTATGCGAATAATACATTCCTGAGGTCTTTAACGTTGGGAGCTATTATCTCTATTGTTTAACAGCTTGGCTGGGTCGTACCCTTTCCTGCTCTAAATTACACAGGGAGAGATCTGTACTGCGTCGAAGAGAAATGCGTGGAGGAGCACACCACAGCATTTCTCCCTGGTTTCCAGAGCTGATACAAGCATCCATCCACCACCTGTTTTTACAGACTTTGGTCAGTTCTGGCGTTAGGGTCTCGGAACGCAATGTGAGGCATGTGTATTCCTGTCGCCATCTCTTCAGACGTCATCACCCAGTACATACTCATTGATTCATTCAGCAAATATTGATTGAGCTCCTACAATGTGCCAAGCATTGTGGGAGCCATTCGGGCCTCAGAGGAATCACAGGATTTCTGCTCCCCTGGAGCATGTGTGTATGAGCTGGGAAGAAGAAGGGCCAGGCCATCAACAAGTGAACAAGACAGTTTCAGAGAGTGACAGGGAGAGCTGCCGGGTAGCTGCTCAGAGTGGTACCCCCCGAGCTTTACAGCACGGACGCTCCATGGCTATAAAGTAAAAAAGGATAAAGTGATAGAGGGATGGGGTTGGGGTGGAGACTCAAGTGCTGTTAATTAGATTCTCCGCTGCAGCAAATCCATTTGTTCACATGCTTACTGTTCCCCTGATGATATTCTCTCCGAAATCATGGCGCCTTCTTTGTCTTCAGTTCACTGTGTTGCTGCTCTTCAGAGGCAGGCCACGTGGTTTTTCCCTTCTGTCTTCCAGGTGGTAGTTGTCTCTGTTAGGTTAGGGCTCCGCGTTGTTTGCATCATGCTCGCAGCTGCATGACCACAAAGCTGGTGGTGGGATAGCTGTGTGAGGGCATCCGAGTCCGGCCTAGAGCCCCCAGTTCAGTGCAGATGTGATGGTTGGGGTCGGTACCTGGATCTTCAGCAGGTTCTAAGAACAAGCTGTGACTCCACTGTTAGACTGAAGCCCAATGGGCAGTACGGTTCCCTTGCTGAGAGACAGTGTTGAGGGGCCACTAAGAGCTTGGTCCCTGGAGTCAGATGGGTTTAAATTTGCATTGATTTGCATGAATTTGAATTGGCTGTTACCATTTGCCGGATGCCCAGCCCTGGCCAGTTACTTAACCTCTGTGTGCCTCAGTGCCTTCATCTTTAAAGGGGGTTGAAAACAGTACCTACCTCGTAGTGTTATTATGATACTTTAAGCAATTGATTGGAATGCTTAGAACAGTGCCTGCACTTAGTAAACCCCCAATAACATATAATAATAATAATAATTATTACTATCAACTCTGTCATGTGTTGCCTTAAAGCTCTTCCATGTCCTCCCTTCCCCTCGACTCCAGCTCTGTCTGTACTCAATAACAGGCAGAGATTACAAGGGTAAGGCTGAATGTGTCCAGGGATCAGCTTCCCTTTGCTGAATCCGCCGGGAGGGCTCTGTGTGGCCTTTTGAACCCGACGCAGGAAGGGGGAGTGGGTGCAGTGGGGGAGGGAAGGAGGAACTCGGCAGAGGAGTCACACCCTTCCCTTGTCTTTCCTTTTTTGCAAACATGATTTTATTCTTTTTTCACCTTAACTGTATCATTATTTAATAAGTCAAATATTTAATTTATTTAAGTTTTAATATTATTAACACCAGACATCAATATAAATGTTATAAAGGGATTAAAATGTTTGTCCATATTAGTTTCTACCTTCTTTATACTTTTATTTATATGTTAAAGATGTTTAGAATGAGCCTCTATCATTTTTGCAGTCAGAAAAATTAAATATTGTTTCATTTTGATAAAATATCATTCACAAACTTATTGCTGTAATACAGTTTTTATTTGGGGTTCATGTCTAATCTTTACCCATATAGAAATAAATATTCAAGAGCTATAATCAAAAGTATACATATAATTTTATGATCTACCGTTTTACTTAGAATGATGTTTAACATTCTCCTTCCTCCAGGATCATATTTATCACTCTAATAATTGTGTTCAAACTGCATCACATTAAATGTTACAATATACCTCACATTACAGAACTGACACATAGGTTGTTCACATTTTTTCTCTGTAATGAAATTATGTCATTATAAACCTCTTTGTCCATGTGGCTTTTTCTTTTGAATTAATTCCTAGAGGTTACTGAGGCAGAATATTGAATAATTTTTTAGCTGTTCATGAGAATTCATATACTCCCTTCCGAAGGGATTATATCAACTTTACACTCCAGCTGGCAATAAATACATATGAGTTTCCATGAAGGCTCAGCAATATTGGGTTGTATATTTTTATTTATTTCTTCTACTGAAATGGACTGTGTTTACATAGTAATTCTATTTTTTTTCTCATATGAATCCTCTGAGCATACTCTTTGCTCATCTTGGTGATACTCAGAGACAATTAAAAAACTCTAATTCAATACTGATATTTGCCTTTGGCATAGTTGTTGCAGTTACTTTTTTTCATTTTTTTATTTTTCTTTAAAATTTTGGTTCAGTGTAATTGTTTGTTTTTTCCATGTGTGGCCCTTCCCTTCCTTCAGCTTCATTCTAGGGTCTATGAGTTACTGGCATGGACCAGGTTTAAAGGAAGGGTCTTCAGGGATGTAGATCCTTGGGGCAAAACCAGAGGGATAACAGGGAGTGGGCAGGACGTCAAAGTGAGACACAGTCACCTTTCTCCCCCGGTTCCTTGCGAAGCTTCCGGTGGCTGAAAGGCGGTGCTTACCTGGCACCTCCTTAGCACAGTTCTGTAGCTTTGAGGTTGTCAGAATCCCCAGGGCACACCTGTCACTTCCCCACCAGAATGTTTCAAGGAGAACAATGGACTTGGACTGTGTCCACTCTGGTTACCACTGGGGGGGGGTCACCCCAGATAAGGAGCTGGGCACTCTGACTGCACTTGAGCTTGAGTGATGGTTCTTCCCTGACACGAGGGACCAGGGGTGTGAGACTCTGCCTGGGGTGAGCACACTGAGGGGGAGCGAGGGGCCACGAGAACAGCGACTGTGCCACGCCTGCCCTTTACCAGAGGGACCCTTCCCGGCACCACACGCAGCACGGAACCCGGCACGTCCCCTGCCCAGGGCTCAGAGCCCAGCCAGTCCAGCCCAGCCCTCGTGTCACGCTGTTTTTCAATTGCTCTTTAGACTACGAGCACCCCCCTCTTTAGAGCGCTCCCCTGCCAGCCCTCAGCGGCCCAGGTAGAGAGCAGGGACGCTTCCTGACCTCCCCGGCTCTTCTCTTGCAGTTTCCTGCTTCTTCAACTTCACCAGCCCCTCTGGGGTCGTCCTGTCGCCCAACTACCCAGAGGACTACGGCAACCACCTCCACTGTGTCTGGCTCATCCTGGCCCGGCCCGAGAGCCGCATCCACCTGGCCTTCAACGACATCGACGTGGAGCCTCAGTTCGACTTCCTGGTCATCAAGGATGGGGCCACTGCTGAGGCCCCCGTCCTGGGCACCTTCTCAGGAAACCAGCTCCCCTCCTCCATCACCAGCAGCGGCCACGTGGCCCGTCTCGAGTTCCAGACTGACCACTCCACAGGGAAGAGGGGCTTCAACATCACCTTTACCAGTGAGTCCTCCCTCTGTCCCCAGCAGACCCTCCCTCTGAGTGCCAGCCCCTGAGGACAGTGTAGCAGTGACGATGTGGGCGGGCCAGTTCCAGGGGCTGCAGTGTGCAGGCCTGGGGCTCCAGCAGGACCAGGAAATGCGTAAAGCGCTGGCTGCCGGCCAGGGTGCTCTTTGCTGTGGAGCCCCTCTCTTTTCAGTGTTGATTTCCTGCATATAATGCAACAAGAGCCTGGAACCTCATTTCTCCCACCCCCCGCCTCCTAGAAATAGAAAGTACAGCTAGAACTGTGAAGGGCCCAAGGGAGAGCAAGCCTCTGTCATCCCCTCATTAGTGACTGATCCCTCAGCGATCTGCTCCCCGTGGTCTTGAACGCCCACTTACTGCTGCCTGTAGGTGCCCAGCGGGGCTGCTCACACTCGGCTTCGCTCAGTTCCCACTCTCACACTCAAAGTCTGGAGCACTGTGTCCATCTGGCTCTGACACTCCACTGGAGCCGACTCTTGGGGCACCTCCTCATCGCCCCTCTCAAGGCCACAGCCCAGAATCTGTCACTCCCAGCTTCAATGCCAGGCCCCCCTCTAGAAGCAGCCTGAAGCTCGGCAGTGGTTATTTTCATCTCTGTGTCTCCTGGGATTATAATGGGGGTGGGGTGGGGGTGGAGGCAGACCCTTGGAGACTGGAAATAACCAGTCTCCAAAGGCAGCAAGAAGTGCACATCAGGCTATAATGAGCTGTAGACCCATGCATGACCTTGGCCGATGACATATAGTCCAATGGGGCTAAAGCTGGGTCTGCCTGAAGAATTACCTAGACCCTTTCCCAGAGGCTGCTTGTGAAACGCCAGTCCCCACCTCCAGTGCTGCCCCATGCACACAAACACACAGACACAGAGCTGGTCCCTCTGGTGACTGACAGAACTGATCTGCCCCCAGCCTCCACCCTCATCCGTGGCACAGAGGTCTTGCTCCTTGTTTCACCTGTCCCTGGAGTCTAATGAAGCTGAAGACAATAAGTGCCAAATGGCCAGCCATTGGGGACCCCAGATTCCAAGGGAAACCCAAGCTAAAGCACGTCCCTGCCATTCCTCAGCACCTTCCTCAGGACATGAGACTTGAAACTCGCTAGAAACAGCCTCCTCAGAGCACGTCTCCTCCAGGAGGCTCCTGCCCACGTCATCAATGGGCAGGAGGAGGCAGGGCCCAGCCTGTCTTCCCCGATCTTCCCCATCCGTGCAGCTCTAGCTTTTAAGTCAGCCTGCTTTCCCACGAGGCCATGAGCTCTGGACCAGTAGGGGAATGTATTACTTCTCTGCCCACCTGGTACGTGGTAAGGATCAGTAAATGTTTACTGAGTGGAAAGGTCCATGAGTGACTCAATGCTCCTTCTCCCCTGGGGAAGTGGGATGAAGAAGAGTAAGGGGTCTCCAGGGAAACTCCACTTGTCCAGGATGGTGACAGCTGAGGACTCTGCAGGGTCAGCGGCAGTGTGGACACTGGTGGGGCACCTGCAGCAAAACCATGCGCTCATGGTCTCCCAGGCAAACCAGACCCTAGTGAGTCCCCGTTTTCCAGGAGAGAAGCAAATGCTGGGTCCCTGGGAGGAAGAAGGAAGCACAGGGTGGTGGGCCCGACCTGAGGACTGAGGTCCTACCTCGCATGCCTGCCCCAGGTTTCTCCGCCACTGTAAAAGCGATACACACCCAGTACGTACACACTGAAAACACAGGGCAAGTCAAAGGAGAAATGCTGACCACTGTCCCAAACCCCCACCCAGAAATGATTGTTGCCAGCATTTGGTGAGCACTCTTACAGACATCGGGTATTTTTCTGTGCATCCGTACAGATGGGCAGTTGGATGGTTAGGTAGAAATAATTTTTTTTTAAATCTGGGCCCCTCCCTAGATCTGCTCAATCAGAATCTCCAAGGGGCTGAGGCTGCAGGATCTACTTCCTAAGAGGCTTCTGAGGCAGCTCTGATGAAGCTGGTGAACAGCAATCCACGGACAAGTGTTTGGGAGGATTTGCAGCGTAGTCTCCCCCGCAGGACGGCCATCTCCTGGGGCACAGCCCAGCAGATGGCCATCCAGGCAGAGCTGGAGTCTGCCCAGTGTCGGGAGGTCCCCTCCCCAGGCAGCTGTCTCCATGGCTTCCCCTTAGGGTGACTTGTAACCTGTGTCCCTATGACAAGGACCCGGGACTCTCCACCCCTCGAGCTCCTTGGACTAAACCCAGTCCTCCCAGCCCTCTCCTCTGGAATATCTTCAACAATGTTAAAGGAACCACTATTTCCTGAGCACCTACTGTGTGAGCACTCTGTTGACCTACTGTGCAAGCACTCTGCAGTCACCTTGGTGGACCCCACACCAAAAAACGTCTTTACACGCACAGCAGGAGGCAGGTTGGAGAAGACACGCAGGTAGAATGGGGCAGTACTGAAATCCCGGACGTAGAGCTTTCGATCCCAGATATTGAGAATAGCTTCATAGTCAGATTTGTGTGTGCATCCGTGTGTGAGTGTGTGCATGAACGTGTGTGTGATAGAGCAACATTATGGTCCAAGTTCCTGATAAAGAAAGTGTGGGAGACTGAGGTCTGAGCTGACCTCGGCTTTGCATGTCAAAGGGGTGCAAAGGGGGTTGCATCCCTTTTGGCTGCAACCCAAAAAAGGAAAGGATGGAAGGGAGTTGGGGACTTCATGGAGGCTCTGGGAGGTACCATCACACTCATCTCCACGCCAATCCCCCACAGCTCCCCTTCCATTAGAAGGGTCCCCAGGTCTACAGGCCTCTTTCTGCCAGCAAGATCCAGCAGCCCCCGGGGTGAGCTGCCTCTGTTTCTGACCGTGCCAATGTTCCCATTGCCAGACGATTCCAGAGGCATGTAAATCGAGTTTTTTAAAGTGGTACTTGCCCATGCAGCCATGGAGCCTGGTTCCCACTGCAAGGCTACCGTCCTTAAAACAGCAGGGAGGCAAACAGGGTGTGGCTTCTGCCACTTGAGTGCTGGAGCGGTGGCACCGCCGAGGGAGGGAGCCCGGGAGTGTGCTTGGTGGAGACGAGGGGACCGGGAAGAAGGGATGGGACTCACTCTTCAGCGGCCCTCGCCATCCATCAGGAGCTGGACCAAGTATTCTCCACTGTCCTATTCGTATCAACTTTCATTTTACTTCTATCCCAGAATGACCCTGCCAGGGAAGTATGATCTCATTTTATAGGTCAGGAAACAGAGGTTCAGCAAGATTACATAAGCTGCCCAGAACCAAGTAGCTAACGAGAGGCAAAGCTCGATTAAACCCAGAAGTGTCCTGACTCTGTCCTTCCCACCCCCGACTGCATTATCAACTGCCCGGGAGAGGACCAGGCAGCCTGACAGTGGCACGGGGATGAGGGAAATGGGTTCAGACAGCGCTGATTCCAGGGCACCTACTTCCTGGTGCTTAGTGTCTATTAGCGTCACAGGAGCTAGAGCCCGGCTCACCTGCAACATAAGTGGTCCGTCACTGTCTGGAGTTAGGGAAGCACGGAGTGGGTTTGACAGGGAGGAGACAGATCTGTTCCTTACGCCTCAGTTTCCTCATTTGCAAACTGGGATAATAATAGCTACTTCATGGGATCATTATATGATGTTAATGAGCGAATATGAGAAATACTGAGCCCACCGCTGATTTGAGAATGGTCATTAGAGTGCAATTGGATGAGGTGCTCGGGAAGGCAGGAGACGGGGCTTAACAATCCCCTGCTTTATGCCCAAGGTGGTGCATGGCTCCCTGGTTTTAGGGCATCTGGCTCTCCCTCCAGCACGGTGGGTTCTTAAACCCACCAGAAGTGGACGAGGTCTAGGGCAGAACATCCTAATGAAGCTGATTTTCTTTGCGGGGGCGGGGGGAGCATTCAATCCACACACCAGCTCCGCCTAATCACACCCTTGACCCCCATCCATACAGCCTTCCGACACAACGAGTGCCCGGATCCCGGCGTCCCGGTGAATGGCAAACGGTTCGGTGACAGCCTCCAGCTGGGGAGCTCCATCTCATTCCTCTGTGACGAAGGCTTCCTCGGGACACAGGGCTCAGAGACCATCACCTGCATCCTCAAGGAGGGCAGCGTGGTCTGGAACAGCGCCGTGCTGCGGTGTGAAGGTATGTGCCTTCCGGGCTGGGAGCCGTGGCCGTCACCGGAGAGGCTGAGGAGGGGACCAAGGGGCCTGAGCCACAGTGGCGCCTTTCCGTGTCACCCTTCCTCCTCTCCCAGGACTCAGGGCCACCCTCTCACCCTCGCACCTGGATGACAGGGGCTCAGAGAACCCCTTGGCCTAGAAGTTTTCATTGTAACCAGAGATTAAACTGGAGAAAACACTGGTTCTAGACTGCCAGGCATCAAACGCCTGTTTCAACGGGGGACTCTCAAAGTCAACACCATTAGGAACCCAGCTTCCTGCTCCTACCCAGGGCAGCTGCACCTGCCCCTCTTTCCTCCTCCACACACTGATGTCCCCAATGCCCGGGGACATCTCCCAGGCTTGGCCTTTGTGTGCCCATTCAAACCTGCCTTGCTATCCTCGTTATCCTTGCGGTCAATCTCCAGGAGACTAAGGGCGGGCCAGCCAGCAGAAACACAGCTAAGTGCACGCACAGGGGTTACCATGGCATCTCCTCAGTCCTGCCTTGCCCCCCAGAGCAGGCTTTGACGCCACTTCAGAAACGAGCCCTCTGTTCACCAAACTGCGGGCCTTTAATACACAGGTGAAGCTTCCTAATGGCAGGATCACATCAAATCTGTGTACCAAGCACACTGCCTGGCACAGAGTTGGCCCTCAATAAAGATTTGCAAATAATGGATGAATAATGTGTACCCTGTAGGCCCTTGGGTGCCATGACCATTTCCAAGGAGGCAGGGGCTGTGGTTCCCTCCTTTGGGAGCCAGAAAGCCTCTTCCTCTCATGCCACTTGTGGATGACAGGTAGAGACCTAAGAGACCTCTCTATAACCCCGCCCCCAAACCCAAATCTGAGCCCACAGGCCAGCAGGCGGGAAGGACAGGAGAACAAAGCGGGGTGTGCCTAAGTGGGAACGCGGCCCCAGAGATGACAGGCAGGGGAGGAGAGCATAGTGCATGTGCCAGGGTCTGGGCTGGGGTCCTGGCAGGCCCCTTCTCCCCTCGGAGCCTCCAGCTAAAAAGGGTGGGGAGGTGATAATAGTAAGATGCATATGAAAAGGGCAGTTCCCACATGAAGTATGTACCCCAAAGTGTTAGCTGTGCTCTTACTGGTTTGTGAACTCCATGAGGTCAGGGAATCACCTTTGGCCTCATATTCCCATAGCTGACGTTGGGCAATACTAGAGGCTCGGGCAATACTGCTTGATGAATCAATGAGTGAATGAATGAATGAATGAATGAACAAACTGTTAACTAGGTTAGAACCTCTTTAATAGCTTCCAGAGCCCTGACTCTCAGCAGACCACCTTTTGCCTCCACCCTGAAACTCACCAGCTGAGTCACACTGGGCAAGTGACTTGGCCTCTCTGTGCCTCAGTTGCCCCATCTGTAAAGCGTGGGTAGCAGTGGGAGCCTCCTCAAGGAGCTGTTGTGAGCAGGCACTGTTCTCGGAGCAGCACCCCGCAGAGCCAGCACCCAGTGCACGTCGGCTGTGAGCATTATTCTAACCTGTTTTTCACCGTGTTTTCATCAGACCAGTCAGAGGAGTGTCACTGCACTTGGGGGCGTCAGGTGGCACGTTTCCACCCCTCCAGGTGCCTGCCCCCGTCATGACGTGAACAGACTACTTTCCTCTTGGCGAGGTCCCCACAGCCTCCTCTGCCACTCCCCTCACCCCCAGCAGAGCGAGCCCTTCTGGAAATCACACGGGCTCTAACATCAGAGAAACAGCATGAAGCTCACGCTCCACCCCTCCCAGCTGTGGAGCTGGCGGAGGAGGGAATTCCCACGTTGGCAGCAGGGGTGTGGTCATGCATGTCTGATGGGATCGTTTGCGGGTGAGGCCGACGGCCCTGCGGAGCAGCCACGGGGAGCCGGCGTCTGGGGACTGCCAGTCGGCGGTCGTTCACCTTTCCTGGGCTGGCCCCTCGTTCTCCCTGGGGCCTGGCACGCTCCCTCGACTTCTCCGGTATCCCTGTGCTGGTCCGTCTGGTCCAGGACGTTCCCCTGCTGTCTCTTGCTCCCCTGAGCTCCCCTGGTTCCTTTGCTCTTCATGGGTGAACACCAGGACACTCAACTGGACACTTGGTCTCACCACTATTATATTTTTCTTTACCGACCCCAGGGACCTCAGTCCCATCTTCCCACCAAGATCCTCCTCACTTCTGGGCCAGAAGCCCAGGTCCCAGTGCCTCCGAGCCTATGGGGGCTCAGTCCCAGCCAAGCTGACCCCTCTGAAAAGACATCAGGACTTGGTAACTGCAGAGCCCTCCTCTTCTCTGCACTGCTGCCCCCCGGGGTCAGGTGGCCATCATGCAGGATGATGGCCATCGAGGGCAGTGAAACACTTAAGACCACGCATGATGCAGGAGGTGGTCTGACCCATGCTTGTGGACCTTAACACACCTCACCGTTTCATAGGCAAAGTCCTGATGTTGACATTAAAACCATTTTATTTATTCTGTCCCTGAGGGACCAAAACTACGGGGCAGCCTGTTACAGAGACCCTGACGTGGCATAGGGAAGAGGAGCCTGCTCATTTTTCTCTGAGTGAGGGGTGTGGGCTGCCACCCCGGTTTTCAGGGACCTCAGGGGCAGCACATCAGAGGGCCAGAGTGAGAGACGTCGCGTCCGGTGGCCAATCCCAGACCTAAAACCGTAGAGCAGGTCAGGTGGAGAAACCCCCGGGAAGCTGGCCCCTGGTGGCCCCTCGTGTCCCAGCCTTGGAAGAACCCGGCTTGTAATCAGCATCTTTGTCTTTTTCAATTTTTCCAGTTTTGTTTTTGATTAAGTATCCCCACCTTGTGGACAATTAAATGCAGACGCTAATGGTCTTTTAAAAAATCTTTTAATATATGCTAAGAGCCACTTAGTTTTTGAGAGGCTGTAATGGGACAAGGGAGAAAATGGCTGCTCTCCTAAATTTAGAAAGAAGGATGATTATCGGGCTGGTGGAAAGCAGAAATTGACAAACTTTTCTTAAAGGGCCAGCTAGGAAGTGTTTGGGGCTTGGTGAACCACCACCGGGCCATCGCTCTGTGAAACAACCTGAGACAACGCGAGTACAGGGGCTGGATTCGGTCCCTGGGCTGGACTTCGATGACCCCTGACCCAGAGAACATAAGGGCCCCTGATGTTTAAAGTGAGGAATCTCCTACGAAGGACTTCCAGGTAGTGAAGGCATCTACGAAGGACCGCCTGGTTAGCGCCCTGCACGTTCCTCCCTTCCGCCTCTTGAAGGAGAATCAGCCGAGTATACCCCGCCGTGGGGAGTGTTTTCCTCACTCATTCTGGCCGGCCACGCGTCAGTGCGGGATGTAGGTGTAGTTACTGTCCCGCTGAGGCACAGAGAGGCTGAGTCGCTCGCCCGGGATCTCCCAGCCTGTAAGGGACAGAGCCAGAATTCAAACCCAGATTCTTGGCTGCACTGTTAGTGCATTCTTTTCAGTTACGTCACCAGAGCACGGGTGGCAAACACAGGGCCGGTGGGCTGAATCCGGGCCTCCACCTCGTTTTATCCAGCCGGGCGCCTTGTTTCTACCCGGTGGGAGCGCTGAGCTCTCAGCTGTTAAGGAGTAGTTACATTTGTACAGTCCTAAAATTACATTCCACCCTTTGAAGGCAACTGCCAGGCTGATGTGCCCTCCCCCCGTGAAAATGAGTCTGACACCCCTGCCCTAGAGAGAATGCAATTTCAGACATGTTTATGAAAGACTTAACATCAGCCACAAACAGGCTGAGAAGCAGGTTTTCTACCTCCCACATTCCAGCAGAAAATGAAAACAAATGGATACACGTCTGTCACAAATGACGAAGACAGGACACCCCTCGGAAGCGGCAGGAATTAACGGCATAAAACAAAATGATAGCCATGAGACAGACATGGCATAAAGATCATCAAACTCCTGACCAAAAGACAAAGACTCCAAATGATTTTTTTAATGTCACTTACAAGAAAAATGTGAAAAAACAGGAGATAATCTGCAGTGAGTGTGTGTTTTCGTTTATAAAGTAATACTTGGTGGTTGTAAAAAAAATGTAAATAGTACACGAGTGAGATAAAGTTCAAAGTGGAAATACGCGTGTCTCAGTCTCACTCCCCTGAGAAAAAATAGTTTAACAATCTGGTATAAACACACGCAGTTTTCTTTTTCCTCTGTGTGTATGCCAAATGTGTTACTTTTATAATCAGAAAATGTTCAAGTTCTCTAAAAAAGAAAGAAGGTCAATTCTCCCCACTCCCACAAGAAGATTGTAAGTGATGGTTATAGCTCACTTAGGCCTCCAAGGAAGAAGTAAGGGTAGTTATTGCATTTCTAACATTATCTTATTCAATCTTCTTGTCACTCTTGTGAGAAAGATATTATTATGCTCTCCGTACATGAGAATTCTGGGAGGCAGCGAGATGGATTGACTTGCCCAAGCTCACCAAACTAGTGATAGCTGAGCTGTAACTCGTGCTGAACGCCAGGCGAAGTGCTTTATGTACTCTGTCCAGCTGGATCCTCCCGGCGGCCCTGTGAGGCAGGTGTTGTTATTACCCTCACTTCACGGATGAGGAAACTGAAGCAACAGAGTGGCTAAGTAACGTGCCCAAGATCACACAGCTGAGTGAATAGGAGAGTTGGGATTCAAATCCAGATATTCTGGTTCCAGAACCATAATCCTCTTGATCACCAAATGAGGTCTGTCTCACTCCAAAGTTCTTGCATTCTACAGGAATGGTGAGGGGTGGAGAAGGGTGTTGGTGGGCTGGACGAAGTAGAAGACAGAGGAAAAGGCTTTCACTGCCTCTGGTCATTCACAATGGACATTCAGTGAACCAGCAGCCCTTGGAGGGCAGTAGTCAGGGCGGGCATTCCCAAGTCCACCCACAGTGGTTAGAAATGCAGTCGCCGGAGTCAGACCCAAACTTAAATCCTGGCTCTGCCACCTCCTAGCTGTGTGTTTCTGGACCACGACCCCCATTCCTCTGCACCTGTTT